GCGTACGAATCCCGCGTCGAAAAAACTGGTCATCTTTTGAGGCTATCCACGAATCGATCCAATTTTTTACTTCTTCATAAGACCGGAAGTGCTGGTCAGCCAGGCCGTGTGCCAATGATCGGAACAAGTGATAATCAGAGGGAGCAACGACTAGAGAATACGGCGGGTGGGGTAGGACTTCCCATCAACGTTTCAAGTATGTCTTGATCACTTTCGCAACATGGGGTCGAGCATTGTCATGCTGCAAAATCACTTTATCGTGTCTCTCGTTGTATTGCGACCGTTTGTCTTTCAATGCTCGGCTCAAACGCATCAATTGCGATACCGATCGCCTGTGATTGTTTCAGTCGGTTTTAACAGTTCATAATACACTACGTCGAGCTGGTCCCACCAAATATAGAGCATGACCTTGGACGTCAAAATCACCGTTCTTGAAGCGTTGAAATCACTCACGACACGTTCTTTCACTAATAGCGGCCTCACCATAAGTATTTGAGAGCATTCGATGAGCCTCAGCCGCAGATTTCTTCATATTGAAGCAAAAAATTAAAACCTCCCGCAAATGACAAGAATTTGGCTCGTAAACTGACATTTTCAATCGAGAATAACTTTATGATGCAGACACAAATCGACTAATGTTTCTATGGGGTTATGTTGACACATGCCCAAGTTTATTGTATGACGTCTATGATCTATTTATTTCGATCACTACTTACCGCTAAAGCCATCTATAGGAAAACGGCAGAAGCAAAAAAAATATATATATATGAGATGAATATATAATTATACATATAATTATACATTTATATATACATTTATATATACAGATGTGAAAACTGGAAACAATCAATACAGTTTTAAAATATTATTGATTCTTTCCGAAAGTAAAGATCTCAAATTTTAAAACTTTTTAAATTCAAATTTCATATATTTTTAACGAAATTACAGCTATCTGAATTTTATTTCCTTTTTTTTACAAAAAATTAAATATTTCTTTAATTTTTGTGAGTAGTGTACAATTAATTCGAAAAATATAAAAAATAATTCAAGTTTTTAATTTACACATTTATCTTATTTTAACATCTGATAATTAGCAATTAATATCATATTTTCTAGTATTTTTTATAAATTTTAATGAAAAAAACTACATATATCAGTTTTTATTACAATTTAACTTATTAAAAAATCTGATATCAAAGATGACTAACGATCAATTCTAAACAGAATCATAGGGCTCTTGTAACATATTTTCGTAAGACTTCTAAGATCTTATAAGTGCTTATAATTTTATATTGGGAGTACAAATAAGTTTCCGCCGTTTGCAAAAGACGGCGCCACTAATAAACACCATAACCTTGAAATATTAGCGATTTTGTATCATCACCATATATTTTTTTTTGTACGAAAATGTTGAGTTTTAAGTCGAATAAGCGTCATTTGCTGGAACTTTTGATTTACTTCTTTAATTTGAAGAAATCTGCAGCTGAGGCTCATAGATTGCTTGTAGAAGCATATGCTGCCTTAAGTGAGAGAAGTTGTCGTGAGTGGTTTCAAAAGTTTAAGAACGGTGAATTTGACGTCGAAGACAAAGAACGTAGCAGAAGGCCGAAGACGCGGAATTGGAAGCATTGGATGAAGATTCGTGTCAAATACAAAAAGAACTTGCATTTATACTAGGAGTGATTTAACAAACAATTTCATATCGTTTTAAAATCATAGGGAATGATTCAAAAACAAGGGAATTAGGTTTCATATGAACTGAAGCCGAGAAACGTTGAACGCCGATTTTTCACATGTGAAATGCTGCTTGCCAGGTATAAACGAAAGGGTTTTTTGCATCGTATAGAATTGGTGATGAAAAATGGATCCACTACGACAACTTAAAGAAGAGGAAATCATGGGGACCACTGGCCATGTTTCAACATCGACAGCCAAGCTATTCAGAAGAATATTCATGGAAAAAAACTCATGTTGTGTATTTGATGGGATCAGCTTGGTGTCGTGTATTATGAGTTGCTCAAATCGAACGAGATCATTACTGGGGCTTTCTATCGAACACAATTGATGAGATTGAGCCGAGCACTCAAGGAAAAACGCGTCCACTACTATTCCAGGCACTACTATTCCATGACAAAATTATTCTCCTGCATGATAATGCTCGACATGTTGCGGCGTCGGTCAAAACCTACTTAGAAACACTCAAATGGGAAGTTTTATCCCACCCGCCGTATTCTCCAGACATTGCTCCTTCCGACTATCACTTGTTCCGATCGATGACGCATGGCATGTCTGAGCATCACTTCACATCATATGAAGATATCAAAAATTGCATCAATGATAGCCTCAAAAGATGAAGCGTTCTTCCGACGCGGTATCCACATGCTACTAGAAAGGGAAAAAGTAGTGGCTAGACTTTGAATAAAACATTATGTACCATTCTTTCACAATAAATGCTTAATTTTTTATTAAAAACGGCAGAAACTTATTTGTACTCCCAATAATATCTTTACAAACAACTTCTTGCTAACCGTAAAATTTACAAAAAATCATAGATGTTTATGAATGATCTTATGAACATACACATAAAATTACAATATCGGTCATAGTTCTTACAAATTTTACAAGAACAAATTACAAATCTTACAATTTTACTTAAAATCGGCCCATAAATCTTAATTATCTATGAAATTTTAATGTGATCCATATTTGTCTTATATACAGGATGTTCCGAAATTTTTTGTCAAGCGTTCTTGTGCAGAGTAGAATAAACTGAGTCGAAAAGTCTTGTACCATTTTGCAATTTTCGCAATAGTTAACATGATATTAATTACTAAATATCGCTAATATTTCAGTTTTCAATCATTTTTACTCAAACACTATTAATTTTACAAAAAAATAGCGGGAAACAAACATTGTTTATTTTTTTCTCACAAAGTTCTGAAAATTTTTTCAGAATTTTTTAATATCATATTTTCTCATGTTGGTAAAAATAGTTGCCAATATAAGAAAATGCAGTACTAAAAAGTTGATACAAAATTCTGAAAAAAATTGAGTTCTATGAGAAGAAAATAAACAATTTTTGTCTCTTGCAGTTTTTCTGTAAAGTTAATAGTGTTAAAAAAAAAAAATTATTAAAAATTTTTAAAGATCAATGTTCGGAAATTTTTAGTAATTAATGTCTTGTATTGCAAAAATTGCAAAATGATAGAGGATTTTTAGTTTAGTCCATTCTAAACAAGAAAAGTTTGGCAAAAAATTTCGGGACACATATTACTGTGTACATATATTATTCATTTTATTTTTATTTTTTTCTAGATATGTCACTATTGCACTTTAATTTTATTCAATTTATTGTCAAACAACAAGATTGCTATTATATGTCTTATTTAATTGATTTTTTTATGCTTAATGTAAAATTCATAAAAAAGTGTTAATAAATTCTATGTAAATAGTCTTACAAATAAGGTTCCATTTTCGGCAAAAGATATGTCTCAATAATTTTCGTTTCGCGTGATTTATCAGACATGCTCTCATCAAGAGAAATATCGGTTGGACCAAAAATTGTAGCCAATCCCGCAGTCCTTTTCTGTTGAAAATGCGTTAACTGTTCGTTTAATTCTTCCTTCGCTCTAGTACGTGCTTTCCAAAATATCTGTACACGAAAACCATAAAAATTAGTCACAATATCTGTATTAAAGGAAAAATAGTATTATATGTATATAGATACTTATAGTTTAAAAATTACTGTTTGAAATGAATGATTTGTTCTCTATGGATGATCTGTACGAGGATAAACCAAATGTTTGAAGATAGACGGTATTGCTGATGCAAGTTGGCATTACCATCGCGTACTATCATCTTTCAAACGACGCCATACAAAATTTCAGAATGATTCATAGAAAAAGAACAATATCGATAGACGATAGCAATATCGATAGCAATGAATTGATCAGTGATTCGCTTTTTATTTTTAGATCAAAAAACGTATGAAGAAAACAAAGGATGTTATCCATATCAATATTGCTCTTTTCTCATTGTATCGAAAAGTAAAAAATACGCTCACTACGAATTGCGTTAAATCAAAACTATCGCACGTGAATCACTGAAATTTTGGAGTCGTTTGAAAGGTGGTAGTACACGATGATAATGCTAACTTGCATTAACAATGCTACCTGTCTTCAAATACGAGTACTTATTGATTTGCCCTCGTAAACATTTCCTGCATTTTAAATAAATAGATATATTTGGCAAAAACAAGATAGAAAATTTTAGTGCAATCCAGTGAAACAAAGAACAGACTTAAAAAAAAGTATAGAAATATACTTGTTACTCAATGAAAGTTTTTAAAAATTTTTTCTATTACAGTATTCTAAAACAAGAATAAAATAAGACTTCTGTTAACAATGCACTCTATTTTATGCTTAGGCGTACCTTTCTGAGAATTTCTTCTTTATCAGATTCTTTCAAAAGGACATCATCAATCTCATTCGCAACATTCTCATCTACATTATGCAGACATAATGGCTAAACAAAAAAGTAGTTCAATCATTTGCATTAAAATAGATGTTAAAAATAATATTGAAATTTTGTTTAAATATACTAAATATTAATGAATGCAATTAAAATACAATAGATACATTACAAAAAGGATGTATAATTGAATATTATAAAAAGATATATAATAATTGTACAAATATAAGAAATTGTAAGGCTAACAGAATAAGCATGTAAAATTTCTGTTATCGAGTTCAAATTGATGTCACAAGCACTTTTAAGACAAAAACTTCCTAAATATTAAATTGAAATTGCATTTTTTGGGTTATGGTGGAGGAAAGCAAAATAAAAAAGTGGAAGATTTTTTCCTAGTGAGGTCTAAAGAGGTAACAGAAGTAATAACGATACTTTTTTTTTTCAACGGAGGTAGTATAGCTGTTTAACTTTCAGCAATCAAATTTCGAAACAAGCGCTCATCAGATATCGAGTTCTTTTAACGAACTTTGACTCTATTACTACTCTTCAATCAACATGGGCAGTAATGGCAATGTTTCGCGGTCGCTCAGTCCACTCTCTCGACATATCATGGCGTTGCGTGAATAATTGTTATTTTTAACTATATTCCATCTGATGGATTTGAAAAAAAAAACATGTTAAAATAGAGAATCTAAAGATGTTTTTGTAGAAGTAGTAACTCAAAAATATCATCAAGAAAAATTCATAAAGAAAGCAAAAATTTTTTTTTCAAAATTTTTATCAAAAATTGTATTCCAAAACAAAATATAAATATTCGCTCGTATTTATGCAAAGTAATTTCACTAATCAATTTAAAGTCAATTTAAAAAATGAGTAATGTGTTAGATAAAATTTAACAATTAAATTTATTAAATTACATACATATGTTCAAAACGGGATGTTTTGGACTTTATTTCCTCTTCAGCCGATAGAATAAAATGAAAAATTTTTAGCAATGGACAAATATAACAAAGCGATAGATATTACTTTCTCTTTCTTATATATGTTAGACGTTTTTTTTTTCGATTGAACCATGATTTGTGATCCGTTTGATTACAAAATCAATTATTTGGCAAAAGTTCCTCGGTCGTTGACGAGATCTTTGCAGTCAAATGCTTTAAAAAATTTTTGTTTGTCTGTCAATCGTTTGTTGCATACATCCAACATTATGCATACATCCAGATTATGATTTTAAACTTTTGAACTATTGTGAATATGTAATGTTGCGATCCAATATTTTAGAGTTTTTTAAATAATCATCTTTATCGCAAATAAAAGATAACTAATGTCCACGTGATAGTAAAATAAAAATTGTACAAAATTTTTTTAAACAATGTTTACAACATATATATATATTTTTTTTTTCATTAAAATTGATCCAACTATTTTCAAGAAAATCCACTTTTGTTATTTTGTTTACTATTTTTATTACATCCCAAAAAATGTAATTTTAAGATTTGTAATATTTGAAAAAATTTTATATCTCAAACGTGCCAACTGATGACATCAATTTGAGCTCGATTAGAGCGGGACAGATTTTATATATTTATTCCGTTATGTCTTTTACAAGGAATATTTTATGCATTGAATTACTTACCGCACCAGGTACTAAGAAACTCGAATGAATTTCATATGCCCATTTTTTCATCTCTTTGGCATTTCCTTCCTTATATAAATCAGTTACTAAATAAAATAACTGCAAAAATATATATTACATTTATTATTAATGTAAATATTTCACGTAATATTTTCGTCGTAAAAACAATTATATTTTGAAACATAAATGCTAATTTAAATGAATATAATCAGGAATAATTACATACCAAACTAGAAGGATCACTATTAGATAACACATAATTAATAAATACAGCAAGGTGTGCATGATGTCCCCATAGTCTAGATAAAGATTGGAACGGTCCATGATCTTCTAATTGACCCTAAAATATTAATAAATTAAAAAAAAAAAAAAATCAATATTCAAGGATCATGAAGCATTTCGTAGATTTATGTACAACTTACGATTTCTTGATCGCTAACGTCATCTTCTTCCATTGACATAATTGGCTGTTGGAACGTTGGCAATCCAGGAATAATATCAGTCGCAAGTGCCTGTTGTTACAAAAAAACTATTGTAAGAGAAATAAGAAAAGTTATAATTATTTTGAATTACTATACAGATAATACACAAAATCTAATAATACAGATGTAATATATCGATCCATCATATGATGATAAAACCAAAAAGCAAATACATTTAATTGCTTGTTTGTTGATTTATATATAT